CCAGGGGCACCACAGGCCTGCCAGGAAGCAGGGGCACCACAGGTCTAGCAAGTATACACGACAGGCCTGTCAGGGGCACAACGGGCCTGTTGGGCCCATGAGCACCCCTAGGGGCAGGGGCACCACAGTCCTTCCAGGGGCACCGCAGGCCTGTGAGGGGCACCAGCGGCCTAGCAGGGGCACCAGTCAACACAGGCCTGCCAGGGGCACCACAGACCTGCCAGGGGCACCAGAGGCCTGCCAGGAGCACCACCGACCTCGCAGGGGTAGCTTGGGCCTGTCAGGGCCCAGGGGCACCACGGGCCTGTCGAGAGGCACTTCAGGCTTTTCAGGGGCACCATAGTCCTCTCCGGGCGCAGGGGTAGCAGGGGCACCAGAGGCCTGCCAGGGGCACTACAGGCCTAGCAAGGGCACCACTGGTCTATCAGGGGCACCACGAGCCTGTCATAGCCAGGCATCTCAGGCTTGTCAAGGCCCAGGGGCACCACAGGTCTGTGAGGGGCACCAGCGACCTATCAGGGGCACCAGTCAACACAGGTCTGCCAGGGGCGCCACAGACCTGCCAGGGGCACCACAGACCTGCCAGGGGCACCAGAGGTCTGCCAGGGGCACCACCGGCCTCGCAGGGGCACCTTGGGCCTGCCGATGGGCACTTCAGACTTTTCAGGGACACCAGTCCTCTCCGGGCGCAGTGGTACCAGTGGCTTAGCAAGGGCACCAGAGGCCTGCCAGGGGCACCAGCGGCCTAGCAAGGGCACCAGAGGCCTGCCAGGGGCACCACAGGCCTAACAAGGGCACCACGGGCCTGTCAGGGGCACCTTAGGCTTGTCAGGGCCCAGGGACACCACAGTCCTTCCAAGGGCACCGCAAGCCTGTCAGGGGCACCAGAGGCCTGCCAGGGGCACCACAGGCCTAGCAAGGGCACCACTGGCCTGTCAGGGGCACCTCAGGCTTGTCAGGGCCCATGGGGCACCACAGTCCTTCCAGGGGCATTACAAGCCTGTCAGGGGCACCAGAGGCCTAGCAAGGGCACCACAGGCCTGCCATGGACACCACAGGCCTGTCAGGGGCACCACCAGCCTTGCAGGTGCGCCTCAGGCCTGTCAGGGGCACCACGTGCCTGCCGGGGACACTTCAGGCTTGTCAAGGGCGTTACAGTCCTGTCAGGGCCCAGGGGCACCAGGCCCGTGGTGTCCCTGCTAGGCCTGTGGTGCCCCTGGCGGTCCTGTGGTGCCCCTGTCAGGACTGTGATACCCCTGATAGGCCGGTGGTGCCCCTGGCAGGTCTTTGGGCCCCCGGGCCTCAAGGGGGGGGGCCATGACCCATGTGACCCCCCCCTTGGATCCGCCCCTGAATAGAAACTGCACACCGTGTGTACGGTGATTCAGTTGGGTCTTCAAGGAATTATCACATCATCATCAGCATCCAGACAGACTAGCTTACGGGAACCACGCGTCTCCAGGCACACTGGCACAGGTATTAGGAGTGTATTGCTGTATCTGTGAAAAATAGCTTGAAGACTGTTAAGTGCAAAGCGTTATTTACTTTTCATTTAAGTGTAGCAGGAGTAGGTGAATGTGTAATTCCAGTGCATGCTGTGCAGGCGCCCTTATAAATTGTAGTAATTTGCTGAACGCATGAAATTGGATGCGATGTATTGGTGGCATTATTCATGTAATGTTCCTGGTATTCTTATTGTTATTTATAATTATCAGCTTTAAATGGCAAACAGTTCACTGATATTGCTTTCTTTCTGTGATCCACTCTGTATGTGTCCGGGCGCCCGAAAACCCAAGTTATCATCATCATCATGCTGACCCTCATCTCCCTCCCCCTCCACCATTGTGTCAGCTATGTGCCGGCAGGCTCATCCTGGAGTTAACGGAGCTGCGACCAAGGACAATGAAGACCTGAGCTATTGGAGAGCAGCTCCTTGATAATCTTGCTACCAGTCACATGCAAAAGATAAGTGCTTGTGTTCAGTATCCCTGACTTTGTGCTGTGCTTTGCATGTGTGTGATTGTGCGTTGGTGTTGATGTGCTCGTGAGTGCTGTTCAGGGGAGGGGGTGGGGGAGGGGGGGGGCTATAGCTTGTAGACTGGCGTCATTTTTCTGGACACGTTATTTGTTGATATTGTAACATTCATTTCTTTGTACACATTTATTTCTTGATTTTGCTACTTATGATACGTACGGAAAGTCCATAGTACATTCTAGGCTCATCTACCAACCAACGGGTGTCTGAGTAGTAAAGTATAGCGATATTTGCAACCTTTTTGTGACATTAAAAGCCTTGTTTTAGAAGAGCGTTTTTATGTCCCTGCTGCTGGCGTTGTCGTCTTCATTGTGTATAGTGTTTTTTTTTTAATTATGCTCATGTCATCCTTCTTCAGGGTCGTTGCCGGCGGTGGTTCTGGAGACAGCGTGGCGAGCCAGCTGCGGGTCGTCATACGCAGGAAGTAGCAGTGTGATGGCCAGCCACGAGGCGCGCATAAGAATATTGTTAAGAAACAATCATGTCATATCCAGGTCGGTACCTAATTGTGTCCCGTCACGTCACTGGATCAGTGACGTGATTTTAGTTATGTAACCCGCAGACTCTGCTGTAGGGAAGTGGCGTAATGTCAGTTGTGTGACCTGCCCCTAAGTGATAGGCGATAATGGTATGCCCGCGTCCCTGGGTGAGTGGCATGATGAACTATGTGTGTTGTCAGGATGGGATGTGACTAACGTGTCGTTGCAAGGGCCGTGACGGATAGTGGGCCTTAAGCTCGGGCTTGGATTTCTTGAGTAAATTAAAGGGGACAGGCACAGGCTGATGTACAGGTCTCGCGGGCTTTAACGGTAGGTTTTGCACCTAGAAAATATAGTGTACTTCAGGCTATATCATCGTTGTCTTAAGCTTTTAAGTGTTGAAGATGCGATCGACTTGTTGGTTCACAAGCCGGCCATGATCGTGTAAAATGGCTTCATCGTAGATTGATTAGTTTCTAAGATATAACCGGAAATGTAAAGGTGCAAAACCTACCGCTTAATCTCGCGAGAGCCGTACTGTTATTGCTACTGACTGTGCGATAGGGAAAGCTTGTTGTAAGGGAAAGCAGTCGTAACGGTTGCACGGTCGCCGATACTAGTATGTCACGACGGGCGTGACATTTTTATAGCATATTACGGTCGTCGTGACTGAAACGTGACGGTCGTCGTTGCCTGCTGTGACTTGTCGCGGTGTTACAGGTTACGAGTCGCGGGCGTTCGAGCTGACCGTGTCGTCCGGCGGCTCTACGGTGATCAGCGCCGCCGCCGCCGAGATCGTCCGATTCCTGAACTGTTGATGTCAGACAAGAGCAGGAAGGTCCAGGCACGAGACCAGCGCCCTGTTCTGAGGCATCATCCGAAGAAGGTGGCACATTGCACTTGTTCAATTGTAGCGCGAACTGTGTGATAGAATCAAATGACAGGCATAAGTGGGCTGGTGATCAGATCTTATTTTGGAAATCGAGCGTTGTGGAGTGTGAGTCACCCAAACAGTGAGGAATACGCCGGCACGTGACCAGACTGGACCGTCCTCCCGCCCCCGTCCTTCCCAACAGTGGTGGCTGATCTGGGGTTAGTCGTTACGGACGCCCACGGCTTGCCCGCAATTTGTGCTATATGTATTAACGGACGCCCCCGGATTTAGCCCTGCAATTTGTGCTATATGTATTATTTGACGATGATGCCTTGCTTATCGTTGATCAGAGTTGACGCTACGTTACGCACTACGTTACGCTACGTTTGCTTTTTTGGCCAAAACTACGATACCGAATTACGATACGTTATATATTGCTACGTTACTGAATTGCGGTATTTGTTAATTAACGCAGCAAATTATTTTATCGTACTACGTTATGCAATATGTCATCATCCACTACCCAGTGGAAACGGTTAGTCTCTAGTAAGCCAAATACTGCGCACAATGATCGCCGGCTTTGCAGCATCGTCGGTGCGGCGGTGCCTACGCGCTACTCGCTAGATACGCTGGACTTCCGACAGGGAATTCCGTGGGACTCCACAGTGGGAAATCCCCGGTGTCGGTCCGGCCGAAGAAAGACTCAGTGGTATTCATATAGCAGGCGTCTCACATCCGTGTAAACGGCCGGAGGTCTGGTGACGATATGAGTAAACTGAAAAATTATGTACTTTATACAAATACAGCTGACCTGTAATTGCTACGGAATCCATTTCGTAGTTCCTACGTTATTCTGTTATTTTCCGTACTACGCTACCGAAACATCCCAATTACGCTACGAAACGGTACTGACAGCTACGGGTTACCGAAAACTTCAAAATAACGTAACGTAGGCCAACTCTGTCGTTGATGATCGATGATGTCTTGCTTATTACTCTCGATGCACTAATAAATGATAATTGGGAGAGAGGTTGGCAGTGTGGATGGAATCGGCTCTTCGCGTCGGCAGATATGTCTTAAGTATTGATTTGCAAAGCAAATAAGTCTTGCAAATCAGCTTAACTTGGTGTAGCAAAATGACAAGTTGGTGGGGCGCCCCACAAACCACAGGAAGCCCCGCTCCTGGTCGTTATAACACGAGCTGAAACACATGAAATGAATGAATTTGTACTCCGGCACCGTAATTTCCGCCATACAATGCTATATTTTCGGAACTTTGCTATAAAATCAGCATTGATTGGTCATAAAAGTTCCTATCAGATTATGGTAGGTAGGTACCTACACGACCGGCATCATAAGCTGAGTCTGATTGGCTTGTTTCGGTATCGGCAGCATCTTTTGAAGAAATTACAAACCTTCCTGCTTTGAATTTGAATTGAATTATTGAATTGAATTCTAATTCAACTGTGATTTATAGTAATATTTGTCTGTCTCAGAATATCGGTAGTACTGCCACTCTGACGCCCGAGATGATCCGTGTCGCAGTGTCGAAATTCCGCCACTCTATCAGCTGATTTTTGTTCCCGAGTCACGTGACGAACCGGTGCCTCCCTGCGTGGGATGGCCTTGGTGCGTGGCGTGTGGGAATGTCAATGTGTGAATCGGGGGATGTAGGGCTTTGGAATTAGGTTTTGAATAGTGAGCGGGGGCGAGTTGTTTCCCGTTTGGAGACCACATTTTTCTTCTGTTCTGAATGTTTTCCATGAGTGACGGTGTATATTGATGTGCCTTGATTCCACTTCAGGTAATTGTAATGTGAATTCTCGTAATGCTACTGAGCTGTGTACCGTTGAGTAAAGCAAAAGGTTTACAATCAAAGTGACAGCGAAAACCAAAGCCCTTTATACCAGCTAGAGTCATCCAGCGATTCCAACTGATTGTGACATCAGGGCCCTGTTTCACCGGTGATAGCAGCACGCTGCTATCACGTTTCGCGAGCTGACGTCATGTCATGACGCCATACTGCTGACGTTATGGGCAGTTCCGGCGCACGATGGCCGCGACGTTGGCCGCGGCATTAAGTGACGTATGAGACTAATAGTAAGAGTTTACGCAGTCATTAAAGTATATTTATTTTTATTATATATTTTTTTAAGTATGATGTATTTAAAAGAAGTTAGGTTTAAGGAAAATTTGGACGTAAACTTTGAACATTTAGTTGATGACGTAAAACAATATTGCGTCAATCGTGCGCCAGAATTGCCCCTTACGTCAGCAGTACGACGTCATCACATTACGTCAGCTCGCGCAATTTGATAGTAGCTTGCTGCTATCACCGGTGAAACAGGGCCCAGTCATCAGCCAGTGACATCATTTGGAGTTGAGCCCAAGGCTATGTTGAGCCTTGAAGCCATAGACCCGGGAACAGGGGGGGCAGCGGGGGCGCTTGCCCCCCAACTTGAGAGCCGAGGGGGCGGCGCCCCCTCAACATTGAGGCAGCGAGAAAGGATCTTTCCTCGCTTTTCCGGACTTTTTCCTTCTTGTTTCCTTTATAGGTACATCTAAACATCAACACACGGCATTTTCCTTGCCATGATCTGAGTGGTTTCTGCTGATACAGTATCGACTTGACAACATCTATTATTGTCATCCCGCTTTGGTTTGGGCCTGACCTTGGCCATAAGTTTGGCAGACCAGCTTTTATACTGGACCATTTTGAGTCAACTTTGAGAAAAATGTATATAACGTACAACGGTGGTAAAATCCGTAAAATCGTTGCTATAGGCATAGCACATTTTACCCGCTCCGGGTGCGAGGGAGGGGTGTGGGGAAATGAGTACCTACACTGACGTGGCGCCCTCGGAAGGCCGATATGGGATTAAAGCTCAGCGACACTAAGAACTTGTATGGTGCCTTCGGTTATCGGTAGCACCCTCAGAATCACCGGCGTAGGGCCCTCAGAGCCGCTGGTAAGGGGCCTTTAGAGGCACTGGTGTGGGCCGTGGGGCCGTCATGCAGGTGCCGGTGTGGTCGCTCAGAGTTGCTAGTGTGATTCTCTCAGAGGCGCCGATGAGGGTCCTTACAGGCGTTGCTGTGGGCCCTCATAGACGCTGGTGTGGAGCCGCGACAGACGGGAGTGGGGCCTTTAGAGCTCCTGACGCGAACCCTCTACAAGCCGGCAGGGGGTTCTCAGTGACCGGCAAGGGGCCCTTAGGCCGGCAGAAGAGGTTTTGCGGGGTTCTTACTTAGAGACCGGCACGGTACTGTCAGACGTCGGTGGGGCCCTCAGAGTCACCGGTGTGGGGCCCTCAAAAGTCATCAGTGCAATGGGTGGCCTTTAGATGCGCAGGTGTTAGGACTTTAATAGGCACTGGTGTAGGCACTCAGAGTTGGGCGTGTGAAACCCTCAGAGACACCGGTGTGGGCCCCCCTCATAGGCGCCGATGAGGGCCCCCAAAGTTACCGTTATTTGGCCCTCAGAAAAATAAGTATGGGACCATCACATGTGGGAAATGCCCCTAGAACTGGCCCCTCAGAGGCCGGTAAGAACTCTTAGAGGCCAGTAACGGGCCTTTGGAGACCACCGAGGGGCCCTTAATTAAAACCGCAAGAGGTCCTCAGAAGCCGGTGTGAGGCCCTTATGGAGATCTTAGTGTGGCTATTTAGGGCCCATGAGGTGCTCTAACGAGCCCCATGGGGCCCTTCTGAGTCGAAATATGGCCATCGTAACCTTCAGCGGTCAAATGGCGCCGCAGGGCCCTTCGGACCCGAGGGTCCCTTTGAACCCGATGGGGGGGGGGGGGTACGTGTCCCCTTAGACCCCTAGCTACCACTGTTAGACCACTGTTTCATATGCATCATGTCAGGTATTTTAGGCTCGCCCCCCCAACTTGAAAATCGTTCCCGGGCCCCTGCTTGAAGCCCCATCAATGGCTCATATAAATTAGTAATTTTTGAAGCACTGTAGTAAGAAACCAGTGAAGGCTGTTCCTAAACTGAATACATAATCAGAAAGGGCAGACATTTATCTGCAAATTATCTTTTACATGTTTTCGTTAAAACTTTGGCTTTTTTCACAAAGGCGTAAAAAACCTCCCCATGCTTCCGCAGCCTCCCGCTCCGCCCATGTGTCTGTCAAACATAACATAACTGTCTAACATAGGTAGGTAGTTAGTGTTTTTGGAGCCATGCAGAGATAGGGGACAACATGGGCCTGTTTGAAACCAACATGAGGCTGGTTTCATGAACAGAAAATTTTAGGCTGTGGCTGAATAAGTAATATGAGGCTGACTGATGATTATTGTTTTTAACATCATTGGCTAATTTTGCTTGGAGGGCAAATTTTTGTGCAGGTGTTTGCTGTTTATCCTCACCCCCACATCTTAGCATTGAGTACATAATTGCTTTGGTTTCATAATAAATTTTTATTAAAGCACCTTTCAGGTCTATCTGCTTCAGACAGATAGACAGACATAACTTTATTTTAGACCATACTGATCTATGGAAAAATCCCCTTATACCTACCATAAAAACTCACACAAACACACATGCTAAAAAACACACTGGAGTTTGCATAATGCATGCCAAATTATGAAAAATGCCTCTTTGAGCTATCAGAGCCTGGATGAATCACACCCATATTTAATATAAAAGACTAAGTGCTGATTAACTGGTGTGGCTCAGCACATGCCAATGAAATAGGCATGGAAATAGTCTTGTGGATAGCCTTATTTCATTTGGATCATGTTGTTTTCTATAGTTTTATTGGCAATGAGTGGTCGAACTGAAAGATTTTAAGCGAGTTAACCCTTTCCAGCCGAGGGAGTTGCCGCCTCCCCTCATAGGTTTTTTCGCGATAGCTCTGAACACGCTGGCGATGGAGAGCTGAAACTTGGCATACTTGACCTTTGATTCAAGCCACATCTTCTGACACCAAGTGCATTTTCGGGTCAGGTCAGGTCACTGACCTATGATGTCATAAGTAAACCTCTGCAGTCTGCACGGTCTTAACCCGCGCCCCGTAGGGGGGGGGGGCGAAACGGCCCCCCCCCTGTCCTTTTCGGTCGATATCTCCTAAACGGCTGGAGATATCGCCACTAAACTTTCAGGACCCCTCCGGGCATCAATTTTACACATTGTGACCAAAAAAAATTCCGGAGGCTATGATAGGTTGGCCACAAATGACGTCAGAGTGACGTCATGTTCTGTCATTTTCGACCGAAAAAGACCTTCGCGAGAAGACCTGTCAGGCCTACAGCTTTGAAGATACAGAAAAATGATCAAGACATAAAAGGTGTAGAATTGACAGGGCTACAAAACTGCTATCTCGGATTTTTGAAATTTTTGAGTTGTGACCCCAAAAAAATAAAAAAATGCTTTTTTTATATGTTAGCCAAAAAATCCAAAAAGTTTTTTGAGTTTCGAAAAAACGGAATATATGTGATAGTACCTACTGACTTCTATCTACATACCAAATTTCAGATCGATACCTCGTTTTTTGGCCAAGTTATAGCGAAAAAACTGTTCAAAAATGATGACGTCAAATTTTCAAACTCAATTTTTGGCAATTCTAGACCTCGTAGAGCAAAACAAAGACCACGATTAGACTCCCCGTGACGAGCTGCATCGAATCGATACCCATTTTATGCAAAAATATCAACTTTGAAATTTGACCTAATTTGACCTGACCTTGACCTGACCTTCACCAAAACGTGACCTAGGCTGGCCCCAAAGGCTGCCTAACCCACATAATCGCATTTGTCATGTAAAATGGACCATAAAACATGTATCACACGACACTTTCATATTGTGACCCCCGGTGACCTGACCTCGCTGTGACCTGACCTGGTATCAGTGACCTCAGATAGCAAAGTATGTGTTTGACGAACAATGTACCATCGATGGTTTTCAATAAATTACCAATTTACTCGATTTCACAACACATTTCTTGAAATGCCTGTGAACGGTGAAAATCTGACCTTTGACCTGACCTGTGACGTCATCGGTTTGACCTAGGTCAATGAAATTTGGTCACAAGGTAGTTCCCGGGTGGGGCTATCGAACGCCGTTTGAATTTTGAAAATCGGCCGGTAACTTTCCGAGATCTTAGGGGGGGCCGAAACGCCCCCCCCCCCCCCCTACGGGTGGTAGGGTCCGCCGGTAGCCCTACGGGGCGCGGGTTAAGATGTCGCAACTTCGCAACGCCCTCACTGCCAGAGTAGCTTTCACAGTGAGATGAAACTTACAGGACCTAGTATCCTTTAGGAGTCTCACAAGTCACAACTTGTATATCTCTGATTTTTCCTAAAAGTCATATGAGGTCAGGTCATTTTCGTGACCTCACCATTATATAGACACTTTTTTTTAAAACCCCACATCTGTTCTCCGGTGAATTTCCGGGAAGCACGAAAGATCTCTTTTTAGAAGTGTCCAATCGTCCGATCCTGATCAAATTTGTGTGTTCGTAAGCTTGCTCTGGCATTGCTTGATCTGCCAAGACAGACAAACTTGAGAAAAATCGAGTGACTGTACCTTTTTTGAAGGTTTCTAAACAACTTGTCTGAGCTTTACGGGAGAACAAATGTGGGGTTTAAAAAAAAGGTGTCGATATAAGTCAATGAAAAAAAAATGAAAACTGCTATTTTGGCGCCAGGAACGATCTCAAACTATCTCAACCACGCGGGATCGTGATTTCATGCAATCCTTGCTAGTTTCAATGCTTCACTTTTGCATTGTTGACCTTGCGTGACGTGGCCGTCATTTATAACGTCACTAGGGTCATAAGAGTTTTCATCAATAACTCCTGATCAAATTGAGCTAGCGAGTCGGAAAAGCTACCAATGGACTCGGGAAGGACTCGAATGATATGCGACATGACCTCCTTCGACGTTCGTGACCCAGACCTGGGGGCTCTGACCTGACCTGACTCGAGATCAACACCTAAAGTTAACCTCACCCAAACAAAAAGTATACCATTCGACGTGCCTGAGCAAGGCCAACACGATGCTATTAAAATCGCGGCTCTGCGATCATTTTTTTGCGAAGTAATTCGCCAAAAACTGAACTTGTACCTTGGGCCACTTGACCTGACCTCAGAGGTCACCAGTTGACCTGAGACCTTAAAATCGGGCCCCAATCGCTGCATCTCATAACGGCGCACACGCTCGTTTTTCCGCGACGCTCTAGCTCCATTAGAGGCGAAACGACGAGGGGGTCGTACCCGCCCCCCCCCCCCTCGGCCGGCGCGTATGTAGAAAACCAATAGGTCCGGCGAGGGTTAACCTAAAGCAAGGCAAGGTTGATCCCGCAGATGTCGCACACGGGAGGCCTTTTTGTCCGCCGCGGAGTGTTTTGGTAGAGTGTAAATGGTCTGTGCTGGTCCCGGTGACACTGTACTGAGGCTGTGCGCGCCGCTGACCGCCAGGGTATGCCGCTGCTGACCGAGCTGTGCGGCTGCTTCCGGCGCCGGCCCGAGGAGGTGCGTGAGCTCGACTACCGGCACTGCTCGCTGCGAGACGTGCCCGGCGAGGTGTTCACCTTCGAGCGCACTCTGGAGGAGCTCCACCTGGACTCCAATCAGGTGGGGACGTGGAGACAGTCGTTCGTCGAGTAAATGTCTTATTCCGAATACCTAATAACAATCGGCACTTATCATACCCTGAGTGTTGCGATATTCTTATTTATTTTTTCTGCCTAATTATGCCTACACTTTCTGTAACGCCCTTGTTTCATATGACAAGCTTGTTTTCCTACAGGTCTGCGACTTGCCAGTCTCACTGTTCCATTGTCACAGTCTCAAACATCTGGGTTTGAGCGACAATGAGCTGCAGACTCTGCCGCCCGCCGTCGCATCTCTCATCCACCTGCACGTCCTGGATGTCAGCAAGAATGGTGCGAAATAGACGTGTATATTCTGGAATCTGGGGACCGTGAGGAGTAAATAAGCCAAATAAGATTTCGGTACCTACGTCGTGAAGTCGGGAGCCTTTTATCAGGTCCGTTAGGTCCTGCACTTACTGTAACATAATGCTGGTGTCATTACTATTTCATCACCATGATATACCTACCCACTTCTAGCAAAAAGGCACTCCAACGATATGTTTCTTTTCAGCGATTACCACCATCCCTGACAACATTAACGGCTGCAAGCAGCTGCGCTCGGTGGACGCCAGTGTGAATCCTCTGGCGCGGCTACCGGACGGCTTCACCCAGCTGCTGGCGCTGCAGGAGCTCTACCTCAACGATACATTCCTGGTGGGTAGACGACCGGCCGAATAGCCTTCTTATTTCAGATGTGACCTCTCAGTTAATCGCTACGCTTCGTTTGGGGCAGTTCATCGACTGATTGAGTGTTACCGAGTGGCTCATACGGAACATATTCTGCCTTTTTACTACTCCTAAATTGTTACCTATCAGATGATCGTTCCTGTTGCTCTCCTGTCGTCATCTGTCCGGACCCGCTGACGTTCTGTGTCCGTCCGCTGCAGGAGTATCTGCCGGCCAACTTTGGCCGTCTGTCGCGACTCCGTGTGCTGGAGCTGCGGGAGAACAGGCTCACCTCGCTGCCCAAATCCATGTCGCGGCTGACCCATCTGCAGCGCCTCGACCTCGGCCAGAACGACCTCAGTCAACTGGTACGTGTGAGCAACTTCAGTCAACTGGCATGTGCCAACGACCTCAGTTAACTGGTATGTGTTGATGACCTCAGTCAAATTGGTATGTGTGAACGACCTCAGTCAAATTGGTATGTGTGAACGACCTCAGTCAACTGGTACGTGTGAGCAACTTCAGTCAACTGGTATGTGCCAACGACCTCAGTCAACTGGTATGTGACGACCTCAGTCAACTGGTACACTCGGGGGCAGATTGATGTTCCACCACTCCCTACCCATCGGGCTCCCATGGATCAGAAGTGGCTGCTGCCAGTGTTGCCTGCCCTCAGCACTGCATAGCACTGCCTGCCAGTGCCAGTGCTGCCAGTGCTGCCACTGGCAGCAGCCAGTGCTGAGCCATGGGAGCGCGATGGGTAGGGAGTGGTGGAACATCAATCTGCCCCCGAGTGTACGTGTGAGCGACCTCAGTCAAACTGGTATGTGCCAACGATTTCAGTCAACTGGTATGCGATTTTGCGTAATCCGACTACCGAAACGTTGGTCTTGGGCGAGGTTAGAGATGAATGGTTTGAATGATTAATTGGAGGGGACTGATTTAATTAGATGAGAAGTGAGAACCGACCCAAAACGGAGTTTTTACGCGATGTGCAGACTCAGATTTTTTACCTTCCCTGTCTTCCTCGACTCTTCTCTGATCAGTGATCACATTTCCCGATCGATTGATCGATCGACCCTCTGATCACATCCTTTGCCGATGTTGCAAAGCCTTGATTGCTACATAGTTCTTCCCCTGTTTCAGCCGGAGGTGGTGGGCAGCCTAACCGCCCTGACGGAGCTTCTGTGCGACTTCAATAAGATCAGTCGCCTCCCGGCCCTGCTGGGACAACTCACCCGGCTTCAGCACTTGGACGCCTCCAACAACAAGATCAGCTTCCTGGCCGACGAGATCGGGAACTGCACACAGCTCGTCTACCTTCAGCTGTCGGCTAACAACCTACGGGTACGTATCGAGTCGCTCATCAGCTGATGTTTGAATGACTTGAATGACATGCATGAGAATGAAAGGACATGTGCACTGTGCAGCTATCGGACTGCAAACGGCCGCGGCTGAATGCTAGCCAAAACGTTCAAATAATGAAATGTTTCCTCTATATGCACGGTTCATAGTTACATCATGTGTAATAAATCTTCTCACGATTCTCAAAATAATCAAAATAAGCTTGATTTATCTCTAATAAATAACGCTTCTTTTTTCTCCTTCAGACGCTTCCTGAATCATGCAGTTTGCTCACCCGCCTGATAACGCTCAAAGTGGACGACAACACGCTGACGTCTGTACCGGAGAACCTGGGTCACATCAGTGACCTGGAGGAGCTGATGGCGAGTCACAACGACCTGACCCGACTGCCGCCGTCGGTCGGTCTGCTGCGCCGCCTCACCGACCTCAACCTGGACAACAACCTGCTGCTGCAGCTGCCGCCGGGTGAGACCAGGGCGATCGGGCGGTCAGTACTAAACTGATGGTGGTCCATTTGGACTGTGCCTACTGACTGGGGTGTAGTGTTTCAATTAAGTGGATCGCTGCCTATCCCAACAGTATGGACGGGAAGACGTAAATCTCTGATACCTCGAACTGGTTATGGCACCGAGGTGGAGTGCTCGATATTTGCGTATCATTTTGTAACATGTCTCGTATCCTCGGCTGTGAACCACCTCAGCTAACCGATTGTCTGTCGTTTGTCTGCAGAGCTGGGCAGCTGCACATCTCTGCGTGTGCTCAGTGTCCGAAGTAACCGGTTGACGACGGTGCCTGCCGAGCTGGGACACCTCTCCACACTGAGGGTGCTGAACCTGTGCAGCAACCGCATCTCGCATCTGCCGTGCTCCTTCACCAAACTGCATAACCTGCAGGTAAGATTTGATTTGATGTGTTGTTATTTGCTTCATAATTTTAGCTCGAATGTTTGAATGAACGGATTAATAGAGCCGGAGCCCACGCCAAGCAGCGCTTGTTGCGGACCCTTACCGTCCGATCGCGCTATGCCAGGTAACGGGAGAATTTAGATGCCAAAGTTAGCGTGCCCATGAAAGCCGGACACGGTCCGTCTCGCTCGACTGACTTCAACTGGCTGCCGCTGGCCGGCTCCCACCAACCGCAGACCGTCCCCGTTAGGAGTGTCATATGTCGAGCGCCGGAGCCATTCGAACCGGGCTCTCACTACCTGGAGTTCAGTTCCCTACCAACTGAGCTATGGGACGGACAGTATTATGTTTCATCTGACGTATCATTTCATGACGACAAAGTCCAATCATAATCTTTTTGCTTGAGTTGAACTGCCTTTGAAGCCGACTCTTCGGTGCGCTGCAGTGTTTCATTTTTCAGCCTTTTTGGTGGCAAATCACACCTAATGGGGAAAATATTTTCATCTCTAAAATATGAATGACCAACTTTACTTCATCTCTGAAAAGAGTTTCATGTATTCCCAACAGCCAGTTCACTTGTCACTTGACAGTTGATGCACCCACATCCTTTTGTTCCACACCCTGTCAAGATCCTGACATGAAATCCTGGTTTATCAATTAGCATAGAAATTGGCATTACACCATTTTGCAAAAATACTGCAGTTATTTACTTTCTTTTTTTTTTCATCCTAAGATTTTTTTCTTCATCGGCACACCCAACCAATATCCAATTTTAGAACACTGGTGCGCTGCGAACGTCCACCATGACGTAGGGTTATGCTTTTTTTTTACCATTTTCTCATCAACTCGTTGCTACGAGTGCTACGAATTTTACGATAACTAGCTATTTTAACAGACTGGGTGTAGTTCGCTGATAAGGGATGGCGTTTTTCACTTGGTTGGAGTTCATTTTTATATCGTTTTTTTTTTCTGTGATCCATCAGGCGCTGTGGCTGTCACCAAACCAGAACAAGCCGCTTGTGCGTCTACAGTCTGAGACGCTGCCCGGCTCGGGGCAGCGCGTGCTCACCTGCTTTATGCTGCCCCAGCACGACGATCCTTCGCCGGACGACGACGGAGGTACGAACACGTTACCCGACTGCAGAAATTAGGCTACAATATCCGTCAGACTATTTTGTTGCATGTTTATTTAGTTCAGTTGTTTCATTTAGTTCCCGTGATACTATTATAGCAATAACGATCCTTTCAAATGCACTATAAGCTATTGTATCTTTTTTGCTTGCGAATATCGTGTCACGTCTTGCTAAACGACTTAGCTCCCATTAATCGTGATAACAAGCGGCCTTATGCAATTTACAGTTATGCATCTCGTATGAACTTATTCCAACCCATCAACTGAACCACCCAACCCTGCCGTGTTTTCACAGACTGTCACGACACGCTGCGTCTGCGGCCGCAGCAGCTCGCCGCCTTGGAGGCCGACCTGGCCGCCCGCTCTCACATTAAGTTCGCGTTCGATCACTCGTCCGAGCCGACTGTGCAGGGCCGGCTGTTACGCGCGCCCACGCCCTACCCCAAGGAGCTGCGGGAGCTGGCCAAGCACGCACGCAACCTGCAGAAACTGGAGCGGCGGCCGGAGCATTCGCTAGTGGTAGGTGTTTCGGGCCTGCTGTGGCCGGGACATCGAATTTCCTGTGTCCCTTTTGGGAAGTAACACTGTTTTCCTTTGAGCTTATTGCGGTGGTAATAGCTTCTTGCTTTTCGTTTTGTGGTGTTTTGGTTTTTTTTTCATTTTCTTTCCTGCTTTTGTATCAGTGACTTTATTGGTTATTTGTCCTTTGTCTCGTTGCTTTTTTTTAAGGTTGTTTTGTTTGGTTTGTTTTGCTTGCACGCGTGGTTTCCTTTGCGCAGAACGGGGAGCATGTTGTGTCCCAGGCCAGTGCTGGTGGGGCTGAGCCGACGGAGGCTGCCCCGGCTCGGGACGCCCCGGCTGGGGATAGTGCGGCACAGCCGGCAACCGTCAGTGACACCAAACCCACTGACACCGCCGCGAGTGTAAAACAGGGTAAGACCACCACCCACACATACACGCTGGTATTGAATAAACTTCGGAACAGTGTAGAAGAACGCGGCTCGTCAGAAGCCTGTGTGTTCGATTGCGCACTCGTAAATCTTATCATCCGTAATGCCCATGCCTAGCGCCAGTCGGCTGAAATAATTTCGCTACCATAAAAAATATTATTCGTTATTGTGGTAATTTCATGAAAAAAACTCCGATAAATAAATAGTAGATTCATCCGATTTTCGATGATAGTGCACTAAACGGTCATAATGCAGAAAATGCAGACGTGCGTTTGTAGTCTGTCCCGCTCGTATCTTACGTACTGCGTGTGTTCGTTGTGTTACAGCGAATGAGCGGATCGGTACCAGTCCCCCGCCCTACCACATCGCCGCTGTCCACTCACGGATGGCTGGGGAGTTTGCCGCCGCTGCCCCCGCCCCCGCCAACAGCCACCACATGCTCAGTAAGTGTTCGCACCTTAGCCTGGACGCGCATGTCCTCTGTAGCTGAACTAAATGCCTGCATTATACGGGCAACAAGCATGATGATTTTGCCTCATTATTATGTTGCCGGTCAGACAGGCAGGTATTTTCAGTTGATCCTTGACAAGATGCCGGTGTTTGCAGATATGTCCCTGGACACGCCTTCCGAGCGGCACCCGCCTTCTGCGCCGCTTCGGCTCAACGAGACATTCGACCTGGCGGACCTGGGCCGGCCGGAGGCGGCAGGGCGACGACCGAACGCCGAGAGTCGCCTTCAGCCCACACAGGAGGAGACCGGCCCGCCGATCGAATACAAACTGCCGCCCGAAGAGACTGACCCGCCGCCGTTGAGGTCGAATGGAAAATCGCCGAATTCGGAAGCGACAGATTTTCGAAATCTGGGGTATGCTGGTTCACAATTTTCCCATTCAAAGAGGCTGAGTTCCACTAATGGCTTCGAATTGAGCAATGGTGGTGCCGTGAATCACTCACCGGCTGTGTTTCGGAGTTCAATCAGACAAGAGCGGACCGAGTCTTCAGAAAAAGGTGCAGCCGGTGAGACGGAGCGTCCGGCACCCTCTGACGACTCTCCGTACGAGCGACCGATCGTCAGCTCTGCGGCCGGACCAACGACGGGTCCCGGCGGCCCGCAACTGCTCTCCACAATCAGCCAGATCACCGACTACGACTCGAGCACCTCAGACAGCGCCGAGGCGGCGGCAGCAGCGGCGGCCGGCCGGGCTCGCGGCTCGCCGCTGCGGGTGGTGCTTGCATCTCGTATCCCCCGCAGGCTGAGCAGTCCTGGACTGCCGGGGGTTCCGCTACCCGCTACTGCAGCCGCGGCGGCTCGAACCCGCGGCTCAACGGCGGCAGGTGGGGAGCCTGGCCCACCTGCCGGTCACCGGGCGTCCTCCGCTAGCCACGATATGTCTCCTCACCTGGGACGAAATTCTCCCGCTGTCGCCGACACTACTCATAGCGGATTGCCTGCTCCGAGTGGTCTTCCTGCGCCGCGCGGCAGACAGTGGACTCCTCAGTACGCCAACGGCCCAGGGCGGCCATGGGAGCGACCCTCCGGTCCTCTCCCCGCCTCTGCGGAGAGACGGAAGTCGCCACGGCGCGGATCGCTACCAACGGATCGCTCTCCCAACCAGCGCCCATCAGAAACATCTGCGACGGACGCTGTGGGAGTGACAACCCGCGGCGGGCGCCCTGTCCCAACCGATCAGCAGGGCGCGGAGACGGGGTCGGTGAGCGGTGCTCCCTCAGACTCCCAGCAACCGTCGCCGGCACCGCGCCGCTGGTCCAACATGACAGGAACTAGTGGAGTGCCGGCACCTGCCGCTCGTTGGACAGGGCCCCCGGTCAGCGGAGCGCAGACTCCGACCGGACGCGGTGGACCGCCGGCGCAGCAGCAGGCGGTGGAGAGAGTCGACACGCCGACAGGTTTGTGGCTTGTAGTCAACGCATGTGACTTATTAGTTGCCGTGTGATTCCCGTCTGTAAAATTAAGTGTCATGTGTCGTATAGTTCACGCAGCTGTAAGTCTGTGTTGGTACGCGCTCGGTAGTACTGCTTCGTCAATGGTAAACGACTTTTATGTATGGCCTGACTGAGTACTGAGTGCATACATTGAGACTTTTGCGTGGTTTTACAGGCGTCGGCGCGGCCCCATCACCCGTCGGAGGCGCCGCAGCACGCCGCTCGGCCGTGCCCGCAGTACACGGTCGGTCCACCTCCCGGATCCCAGTGTCGACCCGTCCGGGTCAGGTGGCGGCGTCTCCCTCTCCGGCCGCCCGTCACGGCTGGCCGCTGCCGCCGCCCACCGCCGGCTGGCATCAGGTGAGCAGCCAGCGGCCCCGACACCGCCCCGCACATAAAACGGTGAAATGGACTCGCCTGATTCGTACAGCTAAACTGACATAAAATAAGCTGGGTAAACTCATTACAGAACAGTTTCTGTTTTTGTTCTAGATGGAGCTGACCATTGAGAAGAATCCCGGGCTGGGGTTCAGCATCGCGGGTGGATCTTCGAAGGGAGGCCATTCAGGCAAGGTAAGCCGCCTCCGAGTGCAGATAATTGTGGAAACGGGTTTGAGCATACAGATATGCTGCCTTGTAGCCATTATGAGTCTTATTGCCAATGCCATGGCTCCGGTAATCGCACCACAGACCCCAGAAAGGCCAAAATGATAGCTGACTAGCTGTAGACGCTGAAGAGTTTTCTGCGTGGTCCGAGACAATATGGCGTGTTCTTTCCATCCACTTTTACTGTAGCAACTGCCGCGAAAGTGTTTGTTCTCTGGCAAAATCTACTCCGGACACGGTACAATGCCACGGCTGTCATTTTTATGCCGAAAACCGCTTAATTGTTCGAAAATTCAACCTTTTCTTGCAATTGTGTGAACACTTGCTTACCTTTTATTGCCGTCGCAGGGTGTGTACATCAGTCGAGTGCACGCCGACAGTCCGGCCTGGGGTGTGCTCCGTCCCGGCGACCTGCTCCAGGCCGTCGACGACTGCGACCTCAGCGCCGCATCGCACGAGCACGCCGTCAACGCCATCGTCAACACGGGCTCCAGCGTGCGACTGCGACTGCTGCGGCCGGCCGCCGTCCAGTGAGTGGGTCTCGGGACAGACGGCTGGGGGTGACCAGCGATCAACGAGCTGCTGACGGGTCAGAGAGCTATTGACAGACACCAGGAATGCCCAGGGGATCACTGAGGGACGCTGGCAACTTGGGAAGTGCTCTGACCTTGCACCTGTCCTGTCAGAGGCTGTTACAATACGAGTGACTGTCCTGATTTTACGAAGCTCCCGTCTTCCAGAGCGGTTTCTCGCGCCGTAGCAATCATAGAGGGTTGTTGATTTATCGTTTGTTTGAAAAGACTCATGAAATCAATGAACGAATGCTGAGCTAGTCAATTTCATTCGTAGAAGTTTTTCTACGATTGGCGGATTTGACCGCTCTTCTTTAAACTGTTCTGCATTCTCTTAACTAGTGTATAATTTTCTCAAATCCAGTCTAGTAACATCGAAGTTGCGATGGTTGGTGTGTATTACACTTTTTATTGCTACGTGCCCTCGTGCTGCTCTGGAAGATCCGCTTCGCAGCACCTCGCTCTGTACCCAAGTCGGTCGGCTAGAATCATCCAAAGATCTGCGCTCTCGCGTTTTATGTTAGAACCTCATTGTCGGTGGGCCAGTACCGTTCTATGCTTGTATGCATGTGTGAAGGCTCGACTATTCTGTCTTTCAATTATCATGTAATCAATTAGAATCATTGAGAGTCTCATCTTTTCACGTCAGCTCACATTCTCACTTTTCGCATCGTGTCGCTAGTCTTAGCGCGGCGTGTCTGGGTCGGTTGACCGCTAATTACAATGATGCTAATCTTGTGCAATGTATGGCACGTCATTGTGCTAACCTGAAACATATCTTTTGTATCTGCAAATGCACTGTGCTTCCACGATAATGTTCACTTGGCAGTTAATGTCGGGGAGATAGCTTAGCTTACCTAGGTAAAGCCTAGGAGGTAGCTAAGTCTGAATTTCGCTCCTTTTGTTGAATTTTTGCGCTCACGCTAGACTTACGTTTCATCGGTGCGTGAAATGACGTGTGTGAAATCAAACTTTCACGTTTTTATCAATGTGCACTGTACGGTGGTGAGTGGAGTATTTTGGGTTATTGCTGATCACGATCAAAATGTGTCAAGTTTCCAAAGAGTAGATATTGTACAGAACACATGTTTTTTTTTTCTCGTTTTGGTGAGCTCGTACGGTCTGGAAAACGCGCATGAGAAACCTGTGATGACTTTGAACCTGCATTTCCTGCCCTTTGTTCCAGCAAGATGTACGTTAAGTTGTGTGCATGTAGGTTTATGCTTAGAGTTTAGGATGCTGTTTCTTTTTTTTGGAAGGGGGAGGGACTGAGCGGGGTTTGATAACTAGTTTTTTTTTTACAATTACCAGTTATGAATATGTTATCATCGCACCGAATGCATCTCTCTGACGTCTGACTCTCGTGCTTTTTTAATGCGTACTCATCTATCATTCAAACGTGTCATCTCATCTCTGTAAAAGTCACTGACGCGATTGTTGACACCTGAATCTCCGTCACAGGAACGTTCCGTCCGCCGCTCGGTGACGTTTATGGGAGGGCAAGGCTTGTGTCTTACTGACTATCTTGGTTATGTATGTTCACCGATCTTTCAAGTGCTTAAGGCCTAGATGCGATTTTTGCCCGTTTTATGTCGTCACTCGTCAACGCTGCATGACTTGCTTTTGACATTTGACATTTTCACAACGATATCAGCGCTTATGTTAATGCATTCTAGTTTATTATATGCTCAAGGTGATGTAATGTGTATGCAATACAAGGTGTAGGCCTGCACCGCACCGTTACCTACATTTGTTTGGTGCACTGGGTGCGGGGCATCCACACAATAGAATGTCATATGGTCTCTGAACTGAACCTATTCAGCAGCAAATTGTCTGGATATTGTGCGAAAAAAGCATTGCTTTTACTTACAGCTTGCTTCTCGTAACAAGTTTGTTAGGTAATATGCAATAAAAAAGTGACCGTTCAACTAATCCACAGTTTTCTACCTAGGTGGTTAACGCTTTTTAATGATCGATTTTCGAAATCACGGGTATGGGAGGAGTGAAAATAATGAAGAAACACGAAGTTTGTGTTAAAAATCGATACCAATTTTCATGTGAGCGTGGAGCCCTCCATACCAGATTGACCCCATAGCTACATCAATTATATAACATATATCGGGTAGTTCGGTTTTTGTTGCAAAAAAAAAACTTATCTAGGCTGAGAAACTTACTTGGCTCGGCTTTTACTTTTGTTTGATGGGGGTGGGGGGCTATTTCGCTGCATGGATTGGTCTCTTAATTTTGCCTGCTTTTTAGACGTTTCTCGGGCTTGTTTTTCTTTATCCTTGATCAACATCGGGAGCTCGCTCTCGCGCGCCGGAAGTTGTAATGGGGGGCGGAGGGCGGTGGATGGCAGTATGAATTAATTTGAATTTAATGTCCGGCGCTTCCTTGGTCTAATCAAGAGGTTGTAGTTTCAAGAGCAAGATGTTCAACATCAAGAATATTGTAAAGAATATCACAGATCGGGTAAGTCAATTCAATCAACATGAAAATTGGGAAAGTTGCAGAACACTTGCAAAACACCTGGGTAGCAACAAAATATACAGTTAACTTATTACTTAGATGATTATTTCAGCTGATTTTAGTGAAACAGATCCGTCCTTGGTGGATTTTGATTCAGACAAAGTGGGAGCATTCCTACTCCTTGTGACTTGTGTTTCTTTAGATTCTGAAAGATCCTGATATTTCGCCTTTTTATGCAATCCTGTGATGCGTGGAGCTAAGTTTTCATGTAAAAGCTTGAGCTGTGAAGTTTTATTTTCATGCAATAAAAATATCAAAATTTTATGTTGATGTGCCTCTTATTTGTTGGTATATCACCCTATCCCCTGCAGACTAATGCTATGTTATATTGCATGCTTAAATGCTCTTTTTAATTGCATTTTTTATGCTTACATACATAATTTACTTATGTTTCTTAGTCATACAATAATTCTTTATCGCTTGGTGGTACCCTTAGCACACATGATTCTCATATAACTGACCTTATTTCTACCAATTCCTCCCAAGGAGTTCAAATGCTTGGGACTAGAAGAAGTGGCAGTTGATTTGATTGTAATAAAGGTGTTTTTTGTGTTATTCCCTTTTTATTTTATTTTTTCATGATATTGGGACAGTGTCCTTTCCCCTTTGCACTCAGAAGCCTGATTTTGCTACTGAGATAAATGTTTGAAGTTAATAAGAAATGCTTTGCTTAACTTCTGGCAGTGACATAGGTAATTCAGCAGCTGGCTATCCAGGCTTAGTGTGCTGATGTCCCTGATGGTGTTTAGATATTGTTGTGTGTTGTTAAAAGGACATTATAATGACATCCTCATTCACAAGATGCATTTTGAAGCCTTGTGGTTTGATTCAAAGAGATTCAAGGTCCATTATGGCACCATGGGCTTCCCTAACACTTAACAGTCATCCCAACCTAATCAACAGCTGAGCCCTTTTAAAATTACAGCAATAAGATATCTTTGGAGGCCCTGACTTCGACATGTTTCATACTCTTAGCTGTGCATACTTCAAGCTGATTTGCCATTATATACCAATGCACATTAGCTATCTGACGTCATTGTCAGATCATTGGTCATCTGTATTGTGCAGGTGAAGATCATGACTGTTCAAGAGGACTTAGCTGGCGCAAGATGGCTCCTCTGGCCTCAGGAGCCTGTGCTGTTCCAAGATGACCTCTGCACCAATTGATGGCTTCTAAGCACGCTCTCTACAAGATCTTTCCATTCACTGAGGATAGCCGTGTGCGCCTTTGCAGGGGCGCTGATGGCGGGCCGTGCGCCGGCGCCAGGACAGGCGCCGGGTGCCGCCGAGGCTGGACTGGCGGCGGACCTGCGCGGCCAGCTGCGACTCTGGTGTCAGGACCAGGGACTGCTGGGCGAGCTGCGCGCCTTCTTGCGCCACCGACTGGTCACCCTGACCGGGTGCGGTGGCCCGCCTGCGCCGGCGCCGGCCCTAGCGCTGCTGGCGGCCGACCTGCTCCGCCACCTCCAGCTCTGGTTCTCCCTGGCCGTCGTGACAGCGGAGGCCGGTCTGAAGCGCTCCGGTCCTCAGGCGCGACTCTCCGCCGCCGAGGTTGATCGGGTGCTGAAAGAGCTCGGTGTCGCCACAGGCGGGAGTACGTTCGAGCGATACGCTGCCAGCGATCAGCCGCTGCTGATGCTTCTGTTGCAGTGTACTGAACCGACATGTCCACCACCGACACGATGTAACGCTGAACAAGCGCCTCAACAGACCTGCCTTACAGGTGAGACTGAGGGAGCCGAGCCTGGTTCACTGGAGCTGCGGATGCTGCGGTACCGGAGGAGAGCCAACGACAGAGCACAGGAGGAATATGCTCGCCAGCTTGCCTCCTTCAAGGCTGACCAGCAGAAGCAAGTCAAGGAGCAAGAGAAGAGACGTTACCGAAGACAACTGGCCGCAATGCGGGAAGAACTGGAGCAGACATATCAAGAGAGACTGGAGCTCGAGAGACAAAAGTTGGATGCTGAACGAGACTCAATGCTGGCCAGACTGTCAGAGGAGCGAACGTTTCTTCGCGAGAGTAAGGACAGGCTGGAGACTTCTTACAAACAGATGGCTAATAGTGGTACGAAAGCAGATTTGTCGCTAGCTAGTCAGTGTAACTGCTCCACTCAGACTGTCAGTGATGGCCACTGCGACAGGGCTTCGCAAACTGACTTGACTGAGGTTCTCAGGGATACCCATGCTTCCCCACCCAAGCGAACAAAACTGAATGTGACTTTCGACGCAGTAGATGATGAGCCAATTGAGAACGCCACTGCCCTATCCTCTGGTGCACTGGCTCACTCTCGAGACGAGCTGACGTCGTCACCAGTCCGTGTGAATCTCTCCGACCCTCGTCTTGTCTCGGGACGGAGCCAGACGCCGTTGCACGGACACTATGCGACTGACCAGTCGCATCCGTTCGCCAGTGGCGACGTCAGGTCACCGCAGAGTGTAAGGGCTAGATCTGCACAACAGTCGCCTGCTATGAGAGGTCCGTCCGCAGCGAGCCAGCTGTCCGCTGTCAGTGGCGATCACGTCCCAAGTCAGCCGACAGGGGTCATCGGAAGCCGTTCCACGCTATGTCCGCCTCAAGGTATTGCCAGCGCTACATCTAGGTATGAAACTGTTCAAAGCAGACTGATCAGTGATCTGGAGAGACGTGTCGCCGAGTGTGAGGCCAACCTGTCAACAAGTCACTCTGGCTCTCAGTTCTCATCCCCAGACCGGGCTGCTCGAAACCAGGCAGGGGCGGCACGGCCACGTCACCCATGTTATGAAGGTGAAGATGGTGTGCAGAAAGACGTGATGCTGGAGCGTCAGCGCCTCTTATTGGAGAGTCTCACGGAGCGTGCCAGCGAACTCGAGGAGCAGATGCGTGCACTACAGCTGCTGGCTGGAAGGACACAACTCGCAGGGCACACGAAATCCGAGCGACCTTTAGCTACCAATCCCCACCCTTCACCACTTCTGAGTCTTCATCCTCCACACGTCGAACAATTACCGCTGGCGGCGTCCTCTGCAGAGCAACAAAAAGACATGGCCACTCTCATTGCATCAACCCGCAGTAGACTGGGAGAAATGTCCGCCGCGGCGGGACGGCTGTCTCGTCAGTTCCGTGATAGCGAGACAGCCAGGCAACGTGCTGAACTGGACCGCTTGCTCGACAAGGTGAAGCCGCAGCTGTTACTGGAACGAAAGCCTGTCTCACAGTCCCCTGAACGTATGGCTGACAGACAGGATGGTGCGCTGACGGGAGGTGAGAGCCAGCTAGAAAGGTATCGAAGAACCCGGCTTGATACTGCCCCCGCGGCCCCCTTGCCAAGGGACAAAAGAATAGATGCCGTCCTGCAGAGAAGTCGGATGACTGTTGAAAGTGATGTAAGCAGTGAACAAACGAGATATCGCGGCATCACTGAGAGTGAAACAATGCGACTTCGGGCATCAGGGTTTGGTGTGAGGTCGGTACCAGCCCTCAGTAGGGCTGCGGCAGAACGTCCCAGAAGCAGCAGCCATGAAAGGGCGCTTGCTCAACGATTTAGTCTCGAAAGAGATCGAGCGTACGAAGGCTCGCCAACACGTGATGTACCCGTGAGACATGGTGCCGGTGTGTCGGCCATTTCTAAACGTTCTGTTCCACCAGCCGGACGTATAGAGTGCGTGATGGTCCCAGAGAAGGAAACGCCGACGGATGTGAGCAGACCCAGTCGTCCGGTCGTGCAGGGCACGCGCACATCCAGCCCCAGTCGCTCTAGACTGTTCAGTCTACTGAGCGACAGAGATGCGGTGGCTGGATCTCGAACTACCGAAGCGAAACCTGAATCCATTTCCGTTCGTGATCGTCAAGAGGGTCACAATGAAAGTGTGGCCTTACCCAGTGAACAAATGCACCAAAGACATTATGTGGAACAGGACGATGTTCACTCAGGACTGATGGGAAAGGTGGCTTTGCCATTGCGTGATCAACAGGAATCTAAAAATTCACTGGCACAGGGCGTGCATGTTCCACAATCTGAGACCAAAGACGTTGAGAAACTCGAGGCACGTGCATCGTACGAGACCGCTGGACATCCAACTGTCGTGGAGAAAGAGGGAGCTATTTCAAATGAAGGATCAAAAGTTCAGACGGCAGGAGCATCCGAATCTCTACCTGGCAACGTTGAAGAGCCTGTGTTGCCAAAGCTTCCTGGGTCAAATCCGACCTCTGATCTCGATCCTCAGCAGAAGTCAAACAAAAGTGTGGATGTGCAGAAGGAGTTTGACCAGGCTTCACACGATCAATGGAAGCCTGTCGTTGATCTGGATGCTCAGTGGAAGACTAGCGTGGATCTTGATTCTCAGTGGAAAACGGGTATCGCTTCACGTGCCTCAGACGACGTATCTGAAGAGAATGTGGCTAAGCGTGAACCACCCAAGCCATCAACCGCAACAGAGCAGGCTTATTCAACAGCATCAGTGGTAGAGCCGCCCCGTGCGGCTATCGCTTCCTCAGCGTTGGATGAAGATGGCGTGTCTAGCTGGAGGCGATCTCCCGCAGATTCTCCCGTCGAATCTGTGGAGAGAAGGGATCATCCAGAATCGCCGGATCAACCTTCCCTCAGTCCAAAGCAAGGGCCACCAGAGAGCGCACACCTCGACTTCCTTCTCTCAGGCACCGCTGAAACAGATCAGCCCGGCGGCGCGGTGGATGAGGCAGGTTCTCCTCGGGTCGGTTCTCCGTCGTCTGACAGGCGTCCGTCGTCTGAAGCAGGTCGTCGTCCCCAACTGCCCGGGTGGGACTCGGCCGGCGAAGTCAGCTCGCCGGAGCGCCCGTCAGAAGACGGCATGGTCCTGGCCGGATCTGAAGCAGCTGCTCTTCACCGTTCTCCACCATTCAGTGACGGATCGCCTGAGAGAGTGAACTCATCTTCACCTCACCAGCAATCTGAGGAAAGACGGTTGATGGGTGCGGAGCGACCGCCTGCGTCCCCAGTGGGCTCGCCGGAGCGGTCCGTGTCCGGGGCTGAGATATCGGGGGCCACTGGCGGTGGTGGCACCGAGGAAGATGACTTCTGGTGATGTGCGGAGAACTGGCTGTTAGTTGTCAACGACCTGGCACTGAGTGTCTGCTATCGCTTGTGTGCACTGGTTCTTGTCAATGTGAAGGCTGAGTGTTGTACTGGGTCGATGTCTCGCTAGCTTGTTGGATCGACATTAGTTAGAGCTGCGAGCGATGGTGCTGGTAGAAAAGCGAGAGAGTCACTTGGAAGAGATAGACACTAGACAACGTAGTATTTACAAGCACGTCTTTCGAGATGCCACATCTCATTAAAAAGTTGCACTAGTAGAATGGTTTCGAAGAAACCGTGTTGTAGAAATGATCTCGTACCCTGCTCGTACCTGGCGTGTGTGTATGTTTTTTACGATTGCAAAGCTTCGGGTTATGTACGACTGCGTGTTACAATGTTTCCGTTTTGTGTGTGTTTGTGTTGTATTGCAAGGCGCATGGTTTATCAAAATGTGCACATATTTTGGTGTTCGTTGCACCTACTCGATATTTCCGACCTGACTGCGATTTTCAGTGGAATAAATGTCTTCCCTGTATTCAACCTAAAACTTGTATCTATCTGGTGTTCGATGAATGGTGGAAACCGTGGAAATGGTGGTGTTGATGGGGGGGGGGAGCAAGTCACACAGATTGATATCGAAAAACGAAAGAGGAAGGAAGGTGCACAGAAAAGTTGGAAAATAGCTTGATAGCTCTTGACGAGTGCCTTCGAAAGCATTAAGGCCATTTCTCCACGAAGTCGATAGGTAGGTACTGAGATCGGTGAATGACGAAGGTCATCGAAGTTCGAATATGTTTTTCGACTGACGCCGTAGCGGGTAAATTGGCTTAGATAACACAAAACAGTCTACAACACATTGCAAAACTTTTCTGTGATAGGTAAGCCGACAAATAGAAAAATGAATGTCAAATTTTGGCCATGTTGATATCACATGAACTAAGCAAATGGGCAGGGGGAGAGGCGGAATTAGAAACCGCCAGATTGGCCTGGGTTCATTCTTGCGGCAGTTGATGTCATTAATGCTTAATGAACAATGAACATGTTCGTACCAGACGGCTTTACTAAGCGACACATTTTAAGACTAAACATATTCAACTGTTGGTAATGCTCATTATTGCCCTCTATCCGTCAGGTGGAGGGCGGCCGAACGGCGTCTGTCTCGTCAGAGAGCGATGTACCCGTCGGCGGCGCCGAGGGCTTCCTCTGCCCAACATGCATGAAAAGCTTCCCGAGTCCCGAGGAGCTACAGCAGCACGACCAGACGGCCCACCTCGACCCGTGTACGTGGTAAATGTGTGCTTCTACCAGCTAGCGTCCGACGCCGGCTCCTAACCCTTGTCTTTGGATTACCGCATAGACAGATATGATATCTGCTACTAGTTGTTATCGTTTTTGCCGTTGAGCTAGAGAGCTCCTATTGATTGCATCATTGCAACATGTCGAGATAACGTGTGCAGTGTGCACGCTTGAGGGACTCGATTGATGTTCCCAGAAAACAGGATGGGCAATGCTTTTTGTGCGACCCGCTTATAATATTTCACTCCAATTGCACCTGTAAAAATGATTGATTTCAATGGCGCACGTGCAGCGTTAACTCTAAGTTGTCGATTTCCTCTACCGACAGCGGCCACCTACCTATGCCCCGTGTGTAAGGCCCGGCTAACGTCTTCGGACGACCTGGAGCAGCATTTCACCAAGAACCACCCGTCCGGCCTCCTTTCGGACAACGTGCAGGTTCTGCAGCACGAGCTGGCGGACCTCAGCACGTCTCTGTCGGTAGGGAAGGTTCAATGGGGCCGACCTCAGCACCTTACTGACGGCAGGGAAGGTTCAATGGGGCCGAACATCACTAACGGTAGGGAAGGTTCAATGGGGCCGACCTCATCACTCAGCAGTCAGCACCCCACTGACAGTAGGGACAGCTCCGGTGTTGCTGACAGCACATAACTGAGGGTAGGAAGGGAACAGATCGTTGCAGTGCCTACTGTCTTTGCCTCTTCACGCCATGCGATGCCTGCAGTTCTTGGTGAATACGCGTATAGTACGCAGCGAACGGAAGAAAAGTCGAATGGAAAGCCTGTCTGATCAAAACTAAGACGATACAACCAAACATACATGATGCATACATTCACGTAGGACAATCTCCACGGCGAGTAGCGAGTGTTCTTAGAGGCTGTCAGTCTCAATGAATGATAAATGATATCCCGTTGGAATTACTGGTGCTCCGTGTAACACCTGTCATCTGACCGTCTCAGGGCTCTGATCAGTCGACACCCCACCACCTATCGTGTGCAGGAGGAGCGATGGTACAGCGACGAGCTGCGCCGGGAGGTGGCGCGCCTTCAGCAGCTGGTGGAGGTCAACCAGCTCGACGGGACTGCCAGCGACCAGCGGCCGGCGGCTGACACTCAGGTTAGCTTGAACTAAGGGTTACAAACGGGCACGGGAACCTTGTAACGCGACATCCAACCAGTACCAGTTGCGAGAGACCATCAGCGCCGTGAGCCCGAACTGTGTCATATTATCATTGGATTTATTTCCTTTTGCATTAGGTGAGGTGTTATCCGTTGTTTATTAGCTGATCTCCTGATTTTTACAGGCTGACTCTGAGGTCGCCAATCTCCGGAAACAGCTCACCGAGGCTCTGAAGAGCATATCGTCTCTCCGGCAAGCTTACAAAGCTCTGCAAGAAAAGGTCAGCAGGGCAACCGGAAACGTCTCGCGTTTACTATATCGACATGATTCTTGTGAACTTCTTCATACACTAATTGGTGTCGGAGACTTTTGATATTTTTTGTGGGGAAATTGGTGGCTCCCGATGCTGAACTCAATATGGAATCGCGATGACTCTATGTTTGGTTGTGGTTTCTTTGCAGGCCGGCGGCTATGCCACTGAGAAGGCCGCGCTCAGCGCTGCTGTGGACGAGGCGAACGGACGCGTGCAGATGCTGGAGAGTCAGCTGAAACTCAAGTAAGACCATCAGTGGGTGACTGAGGGAGGAGTGAGTGAGTGAGTGAGTGAGTGAGTGAGTGAGTGAGTGAGTGAGTGAGTGAGTGAGTGAGTGAGTGAGTGAGAAGTACTTTCCAACTAGATAGCTAACTAGTTAGATGTAAAAGAGCGTGAACGTCCGGTGAAGAATCGTGAAAAAGAGATGTCGCGAAGAAAAGACTGTGAATGTGTCCCCGTTTCCAGAGAGAGTACCGATGACGCGGCTGTGCTACGGCAGGAGCTGGTGCAAGTTCAGCAGCTCATGGACACCGCCGCGCGGCAGCAGGAGGAGGAGCGGCGTCAGCTGGAGTCGGAGCTGCAGCAGCTCAGGGTAGGGGCAGATACTGTGTGGGACGGAGCTGCAGCAGCTCAGGATAGGTGTTGTCGATGGCTAGGGGTGGAGCTGCATCGGCTCAGGGTAGGTGCTGCTGACAGCTAAATACCGAGCCGTCAGCTGGAGTCGGAGCTGCAGCAGCTCAGGGTAGGTGCTGGCTGAGATGCATTCAGTTTATGTTGATCAGACCAGTGGTTCGGTTCGGTATTCTAATTTGGTCAGTTCGTTCCAGGTCTAAATCTCAAACGAAGCTGTTGACTTATTTTTTTATACTCCTTTGCCGTTTTATTGTCTCATATGTTTTTTTTCTATTGCAGGACAAGTGTAAAAATCTGGAAGAAGGGGGCCAAAAGCCTGATTCCGGGGACATACCTAGCATGGAGGAGGTGGAACGGTGCGTATGGAAAGATTTGGCAGTTGTCAACCACCTTACTGCTTTCGTAGAAACTAAAATGCAGCGATGACAATCTTTTATAGTCAGAGCACCCCGAAAACCCAAAATTTATTATGATCGTACAGGCGCGACGGATCTTCAGTGTTCGTTAATCCCTTAGGACTCTGCCAGCGATTACGATATCTATAAGGCTCTGTTTTGGCCCAGTTTGTGCCGATTGACACTGGACGGTGTTTATCGACTCTGACTGTGACTGTTCTCCGTCCGCTGCAGGCTGACCGCACAGCTGACCCTGCGGAGTCAGACCCTGCAGTCGCGGCTGGACGAGACGATGGGCTCACTGGACGGAGCCACGGAGAAGTTGGCCGAGACCGAGCGGCAGCGAGAGCAGCTGGACACACAGGTGAGTTAAACGGACACTGACAGCAGGCTGCTAGACACTGGTAGGACAGTGGCAGCCTTAGACTGGACACTTTGGTAGGCGTCGTTTGACAGTTTAGGCTGCTGAATACACAGATGTGCTTTTGGCAGTCAGTCGCCGCCAGTGATTCCATGCCTCCTCTGTTGCCACTTGTCATCATAAGATTGTGCTACTCTGTTCAAGAATAAGGCTTTTTATATTATGTATCTCGTTTTTCACCCTGAATGTCCACAGATTCTTTTTTCGTCGTCGTCAATTTTTCAATGCAACGTTACGCAGTTGAACTTATTCTTAGCTGTGTTCTGATTTTGACTGCCTGCTCTGACCGATGATCCGTGCCGTGTTCCGCAGCTGAGTGCCAGCCGAGAGGCGGTCAGTAGACTGGAGGCCGAGCTGGCTGCGTCCCGTGCGGCGCTCGAGGGGGAGCGACAGGAGCGACAGGCGGCCCGAACGGAGGGTGACGCGCGCCAGACCCGGCTGCAGGTGGGCGCTCGGCGGCGGGGGTGGCACAGAATGCATAGAGGGGGCGGCAGTCGTAGGTAGGCCACTGGTCGTGAGCGTTGCAGTGCCAACCCGATCGACCGATGACGATCGTCAAAAAACGTGGCTTTGTGTGAGACCGAGTCAGAAACACAGCAGCATCATCGTACCCCGAACGAAGACATTACCGTAGGCTCGAGGACGAATGTCAAATTTGTGATTATTGAGGCTGTGTCGCCTACCGTGACTTCCGAACGAGTTATACGACTTGCAGCGACGATCCCTGTGCTGCTGTACGTTCCTCGAATGGCATTGCATAATCAGACTTACTGGCTTGTGAGCATAGCTGGAGTTGAATTTTTGTCTCTGTCTTTTGGTAGGAGCTGGAGCAAGAGTCTGCGCAGCTGCGCACCCAGCTGGACACGCTGCGCTCTCAGCAGCAGCAGACGGCTGCCAGCGAGCAGCAGCTGCGGGTGGCCGGCAGGGAGAAAGACGAGCGGCTGCAGGAGGCCAGCCGACGACTGGAGGACAGGTTAGTGAGTAGCGCTTTCGAGGGGAGGTGACATGGACACTTTACGCAGGGGTCACTACAGACATGGAATGGCAGATTGTGTGTGGCTGGAAATTATAACATGTCAACCTATGTTTTAACATTATGCATTCCCACCCACTTCATTTTGCAGCAAGCCATTCTTTGCTACATGCTGCCGCCGGGCGGTAGGCCGAGGTCGTCTATGAGCGTGTGTCTCCTCGTCTGTTTGTCTATTGTGTGTGCGTGAGTTGTGCAGGTGAATCCAGATGTTCCGTTTTTATGACATGTCAACCATAATAGCCATGTGTTCATGGACCGATTGCACGATGCAAATGCACACATACATACATACATACATACATACATACATACATACATGCATGCATGCATATTGGTCGGTCTGCTGGTCTGTGAGCCTGTCAATTGACCATGTATGTCCATCTGCCAGGGACGGTAAGCTGGCGGCGCTGCAGGCCGAGCTGGCTGCCTCTGGAGAGGAGGTTCAGCGGCTCCGCTCAGAACTAGGCGAACTGCAGGCCAAGATCGAGAGCGGAGACGGAGCGGCGGCCACCGCCATCCGGCAGCTGGAGGCACAAAACGTCAGTCCACTAAATATTTGTTAATAATCGCTTCTCATGAGGCCAGAAATTTGAGGGGATAATTGGGAGATTGGTTGATGGTGGATTATAGAAGTGGGCACTTGATTGGGAGATGGAGAGCTCAGTTACTGGTAGATAGTCTACGGTAGTTGAGTAATCGGCGCTGTTTCAATTGCCTCTGTCTATGCCTCTGTGCTACTGTCTACTAACATCACCTTTTCGGTCGCTGTGAGCGCTGCCATCAGTCATCACCCTCTCCGTTGCACCCACAGGCGAGTCTGCACCAGGCGGCGGCACAGCACCGCCAGCAGGCGGCTGAGCAGGCTGACCAGCTGTCCGCGCGGCTGGAGTCCACCCAGCAGCAGCTCAGCCGCGCGCAGAGCCAGCTGCAGGAGCGGCAGGAGGACGGCGACCGGCTCCGAGCCGAGCTGGCAGACACCGCCGGCCGGCTGACCGCCGCGCTCGGCTCGCTCGCAGAGACCGAGAAACACCTGGAGGAGAAGGTATTAGTGACGATACATAGCTGTGACAGGTGGGGGGAAGGGGTAACTGCAGCGCATGATACACTGCTTTTTTACAACACCGCGGAGTGTACTCCTCGGACAAAGACGTTCGAAACAGTTATGTCTAAGCTGACATGCAATGGTAGGCCCTTGACGGTGTCCTTGGCTGAATTTCGGCTGTAACAGACAACATCTTGCCTCGGATCTGACCCTCCGTTTCTGTAGTGTTTTCAATCACAGCTCCTCTGTTCCAATTAATAGCATTGTGTTTGCTGTCTCACTGTATAGGCCGTCCAAAGCCGTTAAAACACACTGCCCTCCCGTCGGTCGCTGTGTGTAGCCCACTGACTGGGGTGGCGCTCTCCCCGTTCCGCCAGGTGCGCCAGCTATCGGCGGAGGAGGCGGCCCGTCGGACTGACCAGGAGCGCTGCAAACAATTAGAGACGGAGCTGGGCACCGAGCGTGGCCGCGCTGATCAGTTGGAGCAGCGGCTGACGAAGTCTGACCAGACGGCAGCAGAGGAGAAGGGGAGGGCCGACCAGCTCAGCGAGCGGCTGCAGCGGCAGGCGAGTCGCAACTGCGAGCACATACCAGGCACACACTGGACAGTTGTAGACACAATTGTCGAACACACACTGACTACGTGCTTACACTAATGTCCAAGGACAAAGTTTCGTCATCAAAAGACTGTTGTCGAGTTATTGCTTGTATATACTTTAGCAGTGTTTGCCATTTTTATTATACTCGTATTGTACTGTATCTCAATATCATTGACTGATTTTGCTTGCTTGGCAGAGCACTGAGCTGGAGCAGACCAGTGGCGTGTTGGCCTCACTGCGGACAGAGATGGATTCTGCTCAGACCGACCTGAAGGAGGCACGGGGGGAGCTGGAGCGGCGCGGGACCGAGAACACTCGACTCCAGCAGACGGCGCAGCAGACCGAGAAAGAGCTGGCCGAGAGTCGGCTCCGCTGCCAGACTCTCTCAGAAACAGTCACCGAAAAGTCGCAGGTGAATCGCAGTCGGTGATAGGCCGTTCTAACCGATTGTGTAACACGTTCTGCAGATTGTGCTTTCCTTTCAGGTTTCCATCTCGCTATGAACTCGCGAAATGAAAGCGGAATGAAAGCACTTCCCGTCGTAAGGAAAAAAAAACAACCTCTAGCTCGGTCAAATTACTAGGGAGTGACTGTTCGTTTTTTTACGGGTCTTGTGCCGTAGTGTTTTCTCTTTGTCTCTCACCGTGGTATAATCCCAGCTCCTCAGCTGTGACTTGTGCTGTGATATGACACTCCTCCTCAGCTGTGTCCCGTATTGGAAATATTATGTCAGCTCCTTTCCCGTTTGGTATTGACTCCTCTTTTCTCTCTGCCGAACAGCTGGCCGCCTCGCTGGAGGAGCGTCTGTCGGCCGCACAGACCCGTCAGACGGAGCTGGACACCCAGCTGGCGGCGGCCGAGCAGAGACAGCAGGAGCTGCAGCGCACGCGCGACACGCTCGAGGCCGAGAAACTACAGGCAGAGAGCAGCCTGGCGCAGCTCCGGGAGACCTCCAAAACGCAACTGGCAGAGAAGGAACAGGTGAGAGCGAGATCGGGGGCGCTGGGAAGGTGGTCGGTGGGCGCGGTTGTTGGGTGGAGGGGCGTACCGGGCTGCCATGGTCACACTTGGTGAGTTGGGCCGTTGTGGCGTATGATACGCTACCTTCTGCTAAACGCTTTGGTTAGGCATTCTCACTTCTTTCGCCCGATTCGGCGACTTTCTATTCCTAGACGCTGACTTTGCAGTTACTCGTACATGTTTGTTGCCTTACTGCCATGCCTACAGTACAACTTTCATTGATTATGTTTGTAACATCGATGCCGTCCAAATATTGACGCATCTATGTCCGATCCCAGGAGGCAGCGACACTGCGTGCGGCGACCCAGGCGGCCGAGGAGCGGTCAGTCCGACTACAGGAGACGGTCACTGATAAGGAGAAACGCTGTACAGAGCTGACTGAGGAGCGGGACCAGTTGAAGGCCGAGCGACAGCGGTTGGAGACCGAGAAAACTGAACTGACCGCCCGACTGGTCAGTAGTACCGCTCGGTATCATGATATGCAATGTCATTTGGCTTGATGCTTTACTATAACTTCCTGAAACTATAGTTATGTACTATGTATTTTATAACTGTTGCACCATTCCTTCTTTCAATTGTTTGTGTGAAGCCTCGTTTTTTATCACGGAGTGAAGCTTGATTTATTTCTATATCATTTTCTTCATGTATGTTCACCATGTGCGTCGTTTGTGCATCGCAGGAGAGTTCCGAGTCGGCGGCTGCCGGGGTGCGCTCGGAGCTGACACAGCTCCAGACGCGCTATGAGCTGCAGGTAGAGACGCTGCAGGAGAGCCTGGCCAGTCTGCGGGCGGAGCTGCAGCAGCAGACAGCCGTCAATGGGGAGCTGCAGAAACGGCTGGACGAGATTCTCGGAGATAAACTCGGTACGTAAGACCGCTGGATAGAACGTCAGCTCACTTGATGCTTGGTTGAATGGGTGGGTGCTGGGAGCCAGGTTACTTGGAATGTAATCAAGTTACTTAACTCAGGTTGATGTGTTTACCTCGTCCCTAGAGCAGATGGAGACTAGTGCCAGTACGGCTGAGTTTAGCTCGTGTTTGTGTTTGTTTGTCGCAGAGTGGAGGCGCAGACCAGTGCAGCTGTTTATGTGTTTGTGTTTGTCACAGAACTGGAGGCGCAGGCCAGCACTGCCGAGGACGAGCGTCGCGCCCTGGTCGAGCGCTGTCTGGACTCGGAGCGCGAGCTGGAGCGTCAAAAGTCCAGCGTGGTCGAGCTGCGCCGTAAGCTGGATGACACGACGGCGGCGCTGCAGGAGCTGGCCCGCGAGAATCAGCTGCTGCAGGTGAGCAGGGCGTGCTCGACGCTCAGGGGTACACTCGTGGGCAGATTGATGTTCTACAACTCTTTATTCACCGGGTTCCTATGGCTCAGCATTGGCAGCAGCCGCCTGGTACCGGTAGACTGTGCCGCTTCACTTACTTGTCAAGCGGCACAGCCTACCCACACCGTATGACACCGGTCTGGGTCGGTGGCTGGAAGGCGATGTGGGCCGCCTGTGATGTCGGCGCAGCGGTGAGGGCCGAGCCCGGAGGCATGGCTCGGGTCGGCGCGGCGCGGCGGCTGGCGAGGGCTGGGGAGTGAGGTGGAGTGGGAGCATGGACTATCGCGCGGCTGAGCGAGTGAGTTAACTTTCGCGTCTCAAGGCGCCAATTATTCTACCTAACAATTGTGCTAAAGCAGTTGTTAAAATGTCCTATCCCCAAGACAGCGCCTATCATCATACTTGCAATGCACATTACGACACACTTAAGCGTGGCAATGGGACAGCCGATGGAACTTATGTCACTCGTGCATCGAGGTTCGGAGCTATATTTTGTATAACATATTGGTATTAAGGCCTTGATTGAGCAGATTGGTGTCTATTGTTTTTCACAGCAATCGTCCAGAGACGTGGGAACTGCGGTTTTTGGATAGCGCGGCAGCCAACGCCCCAACTTTAAGCAAGTCGTACTGTTCCTCTAATGTGTGATCGCAGCCACCAATAGCAAACCGTTCCAACTAGTTAGGAGCAAATAAGTCGCGCACCTGGGACGGTTCGAACCGGGCTTTTCCAACCGGTCACCCTACGACGCTAGCGCGTGTCCTGACTGAGCTACCGAGACCAACGACTACCCGTCGCGGTCAAACGCAATGAAATGTCACAAAACTGTCATTGTCAGTCAGCGGGTGAATGTCATTTTGTTTTGCGCTGCCGGGGACCATTTTCGGTAGCTCAGTGGATGAACGCTCGTGTCGTAAGCTGACCGGTGGGGCAAGCCCGGTTCTAACCCTCCTGAGTGCCCGACGTTTTGGAACGCGACGAAACTTTCTATACCTTGGAGTCGGTCAATTTTATACATGAACCTTGACCTTGACTTTCATAAGTTTTGACATATGACCTGTTTCTCCCGACCAGGTTAGGCTGCTATCGATTTGGCGCATGTGAGCGCACATTATCGGCGCTTGTTGTGGTTGCTAACGCTCCAACATATGAAATGCTGTTTGTTCCTGGCATGTTTAAGGTCATGTGAATGTTAGGTCGAGGTCATTTAGCTTAGATGACCTTAGTTAACCTTTCCGAGTAAGCATTTTTCTAGATGAGTGCTTGGAGATAATTTCGAGTTTAACATCCGTTAAAACCTTTAATGAGAAGTTTTGGTGCTTACTTAACCTGTTACGAAGCCATTAGTAGTGTTTGACACCTGCCTACTATGGATAGGCGGCAGGGCACCTAATCGTCGGGCCTGGCCTGACCCCACCTTGCATGAAAAAGATCATCATTGATCAAAACTAACATGAAATTCGTGATCACCACCCCCAAAACCTACACCCCCACTTTACGAAGTTATATCAGTTTTCGATTTGCCTATATCAAAGCTCTATAACTGAATCTTCATGTAAGGTAAACATTGACTGTAGGTGCCAGTAATGTAGACGCAGCGTTGCAACAGCGTTGTTGTTTTATCCAAAAACAATATTTGGCGATGGAAAATAACAAGGTCAACATGGTATCACCCCCTCCCTCCCTCCTCCCAACCCCTTCTGACCGGAAACCCCCCAGGCGGTGTGCCACGGTCGGGTAACCCGCCGCGGCGCGGCCCGGCGGGGCGTAAGAAACCACGCGTCACCGTCTGCTTTGACGTCTCATAGTGACTGGTTTAGACAAATTTCGGCAAAAAATGAGAGTTGCCCCCGATGCAGAAATTATCGGAGAACATTTTGATATGTGTTTCCACGCGTACCACCGCGTATCAAACTGTGTAGGGTAACAGTTTGCTGATTCAACTCCCGGAATCAAAAGCATTTTAACATTTTTAGCATTTCTTTCGAAAATGATTACTTTGGTTTATATTTGGAAATGTTCGTGTACCTATACCATCATCTTCCTAATAAAACACAGATAATGAAAACATATCGCAACTTTAAGCTGCTGTTCAGGGAAACGAGTGAGCGGGCGTTTCATTGTCATGTGCTTTTTCGCTATATCCGGGAAGCAGGATGCTGGTCAGCGCAATGCTACACTTTGAGAGGTGTTTTGAGGTGTAAGCAATCGTTTTTGAAAGGATTTAAGGTCGGGTATGGATGCACTGGGCAATTCTACATGAAATGGATGACAAAAAAGTGGATATCAAAATACTCGTATTTGCCACTTATGTCGTGCTAGGATGGCATAAGTCCCCACGGTGCACCGACCCAGACCGGTGTCATACGGTGTGGGTAGGCTGTGCCGCTTGACAAGTAAGTGAAGCGGCACAGTCTACCGGTACCAGGCGGCTGCTGCCAATGCTGAGCCATAGGAACCCGGTGGATAAAGAGTTGTAGAACATCAATCTGCCCTCGAGTGTACTACACTACAGGGGTGTACTACAGGGGTGTCGGGGTTATACCGGTATCAGCTGTCCGTCGGTCACCGGCTCGGTGTCGCCCCAGGGCCCTCCACTGGACCTGACTCTTGTCAGTTGAAGGCGTGGTGCAGAAACTTGTACTATGCAAACTATACTTCTACCTCCGAATACATATGCCTGTCATCTGCATGCGTTCGTTATTATTGTCAAACACTTTTAGTAATCTTCCGCAGTATTCCGCCCGAGTAGGTAAATAAGATTCAAGATTAAAAGTGTTGTCTTAATTGTCGTAATTAGTTGTCTGCCGTGAAATCCATTTTTGCTTATTTTTCATTCTTTTAAGAATCTTACTATAATAAGAATGTTCAACACAACGGTCCAATAGCTGAGATTGTCTGCAATCACCCAAAACGTGTCGCACATTCCCATCACCTCATTGTGAGCCGTCACACTGTTGAGCGCTGGCCAGCTCTCAGCCAGTGTGGTCTGTCGGCGGGACACGTCCGCGCTAGATCCGGGAGCGGTACGTGGTGCGGTCGGCTGAACGTGAGCCGCGGTCAGCTTCCGCCCCAGTTCCGCGCTGCGGGGCGGACTGTGCCGCGCGGACACGGTCGGCTGGCGACACAGAGCGACGGCGCTCCGCAATCACAGCGCCTACATAGTGGCGGACATCGGGCCGGGATGAGGCTGGGATCAGTCATTTAGCAGTTCAGGGCGATAGATAACGGACAAGCCGTTGTGGTGGAATGTCCGCGAATGGTAGACAGCCCTTGGGCATGCTTATTGGTTATGCGTTTTACTGCTTCCATCTTTTTGCCATTATTATAATGTTTCCAGAGCTTATTGGCTCTTGTCTTTTTATGCTCGTATCATATGCTGTCGTGCGATGCCATAAAATAAACTTTATGTGCGATATGAACATAGTTACTAACATATCCATCTGGTCTGTGCTACAGGTGATATATTTGGGAATCTCGGCTCGGTTATATCGTTTGAGTCTTTAGACTGTTGTATAGGTTTGCCATTAGGCGTGTCTGATCTGTCATACATAGGCGGACCATCGATGCGTCACGCTTGACAGCCCGGCCGGCCGGCCGCCGAGCCGCCGGGCGGGGCTCTGACGAGGCCGTTGGCCCAGGGCGGCGTCCGCCCCCCCCCCCCCCTTCCCTACCAATCCGCCCGGCCCGACTGTGGGTATATCGGGGGCTCATTAGCCACCCAATGGGCGCCGCCCCACTCCCGGCGGGCGTGGGACGGGCGGGGCCCGGCGCCGCGGCGCGTGGCACGGGGGACACCGGTCTGGAATGTTCACCCATGGATGCTTTTTCCCTGAGAGGGCGTGTTATACGCCCCTTTAGTGTGCTTTCTGGCTTGTCGTTTTTATTCTGTTTTTGCTACTATAATTATGTCAAATTAAATGGGGCATGGGGAACGTATGGGTTCGTATTGTTGCTACTATAGTCTTAGGTGATATGCAACAAGAATGGGATGTGCTCAACATTCATGTAATAAGACGTGTTAATGCGCTATTTTTAGTGATTCTCCCAGATTTGATGACAAGGAGCACATTATTATTTCTCCTCATTGACTCATTATGGATAGGCTGCAAATGTGACCCGACTTTTGGTCTTCGATACCAAGAATCCAGGACTCGTATCATACACCCCCTCTCAAATCAGTCTCAATCGTTAGCAATCGTTCAGTCGGTGAAGTTAGGGCGACGTTTATTTTTCCTAAAGTAATTTAGCGTGACGTGGTACTGGCGACCTGACCTTAGATGACCTAAAGGTCTAAGCTCGACAATATATGTTTCATATTTTCGCGAATAACCTGGTTGGGGGTCGGCGTAAAAGACTTATTCCCTGCCGCTGCACAGTTGATTATGGATTCGACGCTGCGTACGTTGGCTGATGTTGTTAGGAATACCTACATACATACGTAAGCGCTCGGAGGTTGAACGATCAGCGATGCTAGGGTGGTGAGTTCACCGATACGGATGTAGGTATGGGTATGTTGACCGATATCGTTGGTTCCGTGGTACTGGGTAACTGATGCAGTTTCATAAAGGGTAGGTACCTAACCTACCTACGTCGCTGACTCATTTTGATGGAACGGGGAAATATCGTTGACCGATGCCCACCGGTTGCAGATGGGATTCCGGCCCATGTCACTCACCCTTTGTATGGGCGGCGAACTGTCGGGTGCGGGTATACCGGGAACCGTTAGTGTATGATTGGCTGGGCTGGCCGATAGGACGAGGTCAGCCGCCGCGCCCGGGGCGGGGGGGGGGACCGGCCGCGCCCGGGGGGTGGTCACGGACCGTGTCCCTGTTGGGCGCCGCCCAGCGTCCGCGGTCAGCCGCCCGCCGCCGACCGGTGCGGGTAGCGAACCACCCATCCAGCGTGTGCGCCCACCAATTACTCGACGCCCCGGCGGGGAATGTCCGGGTCCGTCCGTCTGTCTGTCCACCCGGCGTCCTGCACCTAAATCTGTCCGTGGTGTCAGATTATAATCCGTGAAATCTGATACTAAACCATTGGTGGCAATGACCTAAGATAATTTTAATTGGTATGATTAACAGTTCATTATTATTATTTTTCATTTCGATTTACGCTCAACAACGTGATTCCAAATATAGCCACGCTTAGGTATCACTAATGATTTTGCCGTAAGAATAAAAAGTTGCCGCGCTGTTAGCGTCACCGAGAATACCAACAGGCAGTTGACGAGTTAGCTCACGGTAACAACCCAGAGCTGTGTTTTCTGCTTCGACCAGCTTTTAATTTTTGATGATGCCATATCCATCGTGCGTGCGGCTTAGTTTACCGGAGAATCTGGCGACCCGCAGTAGAGTCGTGTCAAAAAAAGCAAGAACAAATTCAAGGGTTTTCTTTGCACTATTCCCACGATATCTAGTGGTATGTTGTCGTCATTCGTAATCACTGGCATGTTTCCATTCCATTTTCCAGAAATATCACGTTTATGTCCAATTTAGTAATTGCGTTTACTATGTCATGCAATTATCCTGTCTCATCCTGCAATTCCAAATCCTCATTAACATGTGGCCGCTGCGGTCCTGAACCATATGCGCATTGCGCACAGCTGGGTGAATGAATGTTTCCGTCATAATTTGATAACGCCAATATTCGTCTGACCCAGTCGTCCCTAAATCAAAGGTAAAGTTTTGATCCAGTGGTGATCTTTCTGAGCCACTGATGACCCAAGTGACCCATTTACAACCCGCTTGACCGAGTGGTGATCTAAATAACGCAGTGATGTCCCAATGCTGACCTACTTGGGCCAGTTGGGATTCAGTGGGGACTTGCGAAGTCCCATCCAATCCAGCGGTGACCCAAGTGACCTGTTTGGCCCAGTGCTGACCCAGCTATGTCTCTCTCGCCCCCAGATGGAGACTGCTCGCGCCCAGGACCGCAAGTGGACGGACGACTCTCTGGTGACCGTATGTCACGGCTGTGACCGGGAGTTCACTCTGACCGTGCGCAAACACCACTGCCGGTCGTGTGGACAGATCTTCTGCAAAGACTGCAGCGCACGCACCGCCACACTACCCAGCAGCAAGAAACCGGTGCGGGTGTGCGAGCCGTGCTTCGCAGAGGTGACCTCCAAATAGACGGCCGGGATGGAGCTTTTAGGATCGTCGGGCGTACCATGGCGGCTGCGTGTCCCCCCCCCCCCCATGACGCCCAGCGTCAGCGGGACTTTTTCTGTCCCCAATGTGTGGTGTACTCACTGGGGGCTGAAAGGGGTTCTAAAGAGCGACATCGGTATACCATAAAGATGAGATATGTATTTACGTGCTTAACTGTTCGATTGTGACCGATTTGTAACGATGTACGCGTTCTAAGACGCAGCTTCGCTGGGGCAGTCTGCACGCTTCTGTGGCTCGTGGCGTGCTGTATCCGAGGTGTCAGGCTGCGGGACTGACCGCGCGCCGGTCAGACCTCTGCCTGAGGGTACCTCTCGCGGTCGCGCACGCTGCCAACTGCCGCCGGCCGCAGTTCTGCACACGCTACCTAACTCAATGCGCTATGGGACACGGTAACTCACCTGTCCCCTATTATTGTTGAATTTTATATATGTACCTTTGGTTGCATGCTATGGGCAGTAATCTTGTGTTGATATCTGGAATACAAATGACCGTGTGTATAATGCTGGATGTATTGTGTCAGTGAGTTGGTGCAGCGCGAACGGAATGATTCGGAAACTATATACGGCTCTGAAAAAGGCTCCGATAGCTGGTTGTAAGACTTTGGTGAGAAGCGTTCTCTTGCTTTGAGTAGGCGTTAGTCGTTACAAAGTACAAACTTAAGTGTATGCCTCATAAAAATATACGGTTGACCTATAAGCCATCTGGAGTATCCAATTATCCATCAATCTCACGTTTACCTATATTTTGTGACACCTTTAAGCATACATGTGCACATTGCACAATAAATGAGCTGGAAGAGATTGGGATGAAAGCGACACATATTGACACACTGCGGGGCTGACTTGACCTGACCAATACCCAAGGGCGCAAAAGTTTGTCCTTTGCACTAGAAAGACACGGAATAATTTCAGCTGAAGCGACAACTTTGGATGACGACGCAAAACACCGCTCCGTAGTCCGTGTCGTGTCGGTGCGTGGGCTTCAAGTGGAGGATGAGGCCGGGCTGCCACGACCTTGGTCCAGTGAAGAGTCGACCTTGATCCTGCCCGAGCCAGAGCTGGAACAAAGGGTGACGAAGCTGCCGCCCGCCCCGCCGCACCGCTCCGGTGCCCAGAGTGGCTGCAGTCAGCGCCGGTGAAAAGGACACTGGGTGTGCCGCCGGCGCGTGCCTGGCCCGCGCGAGCTCCGTGTCGCCGGCGCCTTTTGGACAGCTTCCTCCGACCCTGAGCGGTGTCACGGGCGCCGGTGAGCCATGGTTGGCGGCGTGCTTGACAGCTGGCTCGCCTTCTGCGCCCCTGGCCCTGGGAGGGACGCGTCCACCCTTCCACCCACTGCAGCTCATTACACTGGGACACCGGCCCTGGAGGGACGCTTCTCTGTACCAAGTTCGGCAATCGGCAAATACAAAACGCTGCATCTATAGACTCTAGAGGGGTTGATCACTGCACCCGCTGCTGGTGGCTCCGATGATTCCCGGCCCTATCGCCGTAATCATGCACACTTGTCAAAGGCGCAACTTATCAGTTAACCCGCGCCCCAGTGGCGGTCTCAGCCAACTTCGCCCTAGTGGGGAGGGGGGCATATGTTACCACCCACCTCTAACTCAAAAACTAAGAGGGCTAGAAAGACGCGGTAAAAAGCAGTCGATAGCTCTCGATGCGTACGTTTGAAAGTATTTCGGTCATTTTTCATCTTAGAGCAATATTGGGGTCACCAGAGGTCATCAAAGGTCAAAATTTGCGAATTGTTATTATTTTTTTTCAGAAAATATACCATTATCTCAGGAACTATGATCTAGAAAAACGCTGGCAAAAGCAATCGATAGCTTTTGAACTCTTCTTTTGATAAGGTTCTTATCAAAAATGACCTCAGGTCAACGGTTTAGCCTCCAGAGGGCAAAAACTCTAAAAATAGCTGTTTTTACGAAAAGTGTTTTTCGACAATAGCTTTTGACTAAAAAAAGCTACGACATTTCTATTGCCAGAACCGTGTTCTTCTCGCCGAGACGCGTCGAATGAACTATAATTTGACCTTGAAAGGTCAACTTCAAATTTGACCTCAGGTCAAGGTCATGAGTATGACCTGACCGGAAAAGGTCATGTTGCATAGGGTAAGGTGCCTAATTAGCGACCCCTTAATTTGAACAGTCATTGCTCACACTCTATGGGTGCCACTGTATTATTGGCTTGATTTTTGGAGAGATCGTTCATTTTTCTATTAAAATATAGTCATTTTCTGCCCCAAAAATCACTAACTTATTTGTAGTGAGCATTTTGGCAAACCATTGCAAAAAACGCTAATAGGGAACTCTTCCCGATTAGCGGCCGGGGAGGGTCGCTAATAAGTCTATGGGTTTCCCCATATTAAAAATGGCAAAAAATGCGATGCCTGAAAAGATGAAATATGATCTCAAAAAGGTAACCTATATGCAAAGCACTCAATCACTCGAACAGGAACGTTTATCCAACACATTTACGTAAGTAAAAACTGATCACGTGATGCACCGAAGGCGAAAAGAAGGCGGAAACCCAAATTTTGCGGGCTATCTCGTACGACATTCGATGTCCGCGCTGAATTCGACACCCCTGCAGTCGGTGACGACATTTGGCATCCCCTGTCACACATTGCAAGCTTCAGCAAAACCTCATTTTCATTTCTCTCTTTTCCCCTTTCTTTCCCTTCTTGAGCTATTTGCGACCATGTCAGGCGCAAATAGGAAATATGAGTTGCGACACATTTTTAACCGCCATGCTGTGCACAGTTGAGCGATTCACTATGGGAAAACGGCAATCAATTGAAAAAGGAATGTCGATTCAGAATAAAAAAGGTGCATCATCCTAATGTGCATCGCTTTTCATCAGAGAGGGCCCAAACACACACGTTTTGGATAAGAAACTCGTCATTTTTATTTGAACTCACCTGAAACGTCCCACCAGAAACATCGACGACCGGAAAATTAATTAAATTTGATAACCAAAGTATGGCTGACCTTTTGACGATATTTTTACCTCGTTTTCTCCTGCCAGTTTTTCTGTAGGGAGGTAGGTCGCAAATCGGAAAGGGTCGCTAATTAGGCACCTTACCCTATCAGTCGATGCGTCTCGGCAAGACAAACACAATGAGGCCAGCCCCAGCGTTCTATCTCTTTCCAATCGAGAGTTATTGGCAAAAAGCTGTTTGTAGCCTCAAATGACCTCGGATGACCTTTCTAGAGGATATCAGCAAAAAAGACACCTTGGTCGTCACGGGTGGTTCAAATAATTATGATTCTGATATATTTGGACTGTTCCTATGCGTACACACGGATCTAGTGGCATTTTCGTTTTTCTCCATTGACTTATAATGGAAAGGTCGCGCCACCGACCTGGCCTTAGGTCACGCATATAAAAAATCGGAGATAGGGGAAGCGGGGGGAACACCGCCACTGTGGGAAACACCGCCACCCTGCATCTGGCGGCGAAAGTATGAAATGGAAAGTGTAAAAATCCGTTATTTCCTATTAACCGAACGAAGGTAAGCGTCTTCTGATTTGTGTTCCGATGTTTCAGTGTAATGGAAGCTCAATGTGGGCATTTAAAGAAAAATGCACATTCTCTTATAAAAATTCGATGAGTTGGGAGCACTTTTGAATGTCTTTAAGTAGAGACACATTTTGATTTACTTGATTACATCGAAAAATGACTGATCGGCTTTGTCCAGGAAGATAGATTTGCTTGAACCTTCTAGTACATTCTTGCCGCTGGCGATTTTTGCTTGTGATCACTTATTGGGGAACACCGCCACCCCGTGGCGGTGTTCCCCCAATTGAGGTTGCGGTGTTTTCTGTTCGTAGCGTGATAAGTAATTAAACTCCAAAGACACACGTTTATTTATGTTCGTAGATGTTCCCAATTCGGGAATAAACAGCTTATTTGATTTTTTACTTTATATTTTTCATGGATCCCGACCAAGCAGTGCTAGCTGTATAAAACTGACAAACAGCTGGTGAACCTATACCTATTTAGGTGTCCATCACCGATTGTTTACGAAAATCGCCACTTACCGACAGGAAACTCATCGCACGCGATCTCTGAGCAATGAAAAGCTTTCATAGGGATAGGTTGGGTTAAAGGGACCCTCCCACCCAAGATACCTATAAGAAACAGGTAGGTCGGATGTTGGTCGGATGTTTTGAGTAAAGCCCAGGTGACGTCACTGACATTTTTTATATGGAGAATTTCGCCCATAAGGAAAATATTTTACATACGAAAATTTGTATTTCATTAGGAAAAAATACATTCTTTCAATTTCATCATGAAACTTATATAATTTAATTAAAAAACTTGAAATCCTTTGAGTGCTTGTCCCAACCCCTGCTATACCTTTGGTCACGTGACTGCCATGATAAACTTTGCGTTTTGCAATGTTATGACTTAAACAGAAGCAATAAATGTTACAAGCGTATTATTTATGATGTTTTAGGCAGCAATTGTGTAATAACATCCTTGAATTATATACATTCTGCTTAAAAGAGGTCACGTGATGTTACCAGATTGTGCTCGGACAGCATCTTCTTGAACTTCGATTTTGAGTACTTTTTACCTTCATTGAGGCCTAATAACGGACGTTTTTAGTTATAAAATGAAGCAATGAATCTATTGAGGACAAAATTTATTCATTTTTGCACTTTCAAGCCGGGCTATCCTGGCATGAACTTCGGCCAGTTTGTGTGTGAAGCCTATGGTGAAGGGAAAACTTCACGCCCGGCTGACGTCACAGACCTCGGCTACCAAATCGTGTCCGGTGGGGGTCGCTCCCACCTTCAAAAAAGTTAATGAATTGGCATGAAAGTGATGTCCCTTGGTTCAGAAAGAGCGAAAACGAATATCTACCAAATTTCACCGAAAAATATTCACTGGTTTTCAAGATATTAGGCTTTTACTTTTGTTTACTTTTTGGGATCTCCCCTGTTGGGTGAGTATTGAAGCATCCAAGAGCGCAGCATCCAAGGGACGCAACATCCAAAACCTTAGCATCCAGCGATCAAAACGTCCAAATAACATCCAAAACCGACCCCTTAGGGATGATTCAGAGCATCCAAGAGCGAAACATCCAAAACTGCAAAATCCAGGACCACAGCATCCAAAATCGTATCATCCAAATTGGCAGCAACCAAGGACGAGGAATTGCAGCATCCAAGAGTGAAATATCCAAGGGTGCAGCATCCAAAACCGTATCATCCAAAAAACATTTTTGGCACCGCAGCATCCAAGACCGTATCATCCAAAATAGTGACATTTGTTGTACAAGCTGTAAACTATTAGTTTAATGGCTGTCCGATAGGTGGTGGCACGCATCACTGAGTCTCTATACAGTGGCATCCCTATAATGACCTTACATCCTCAAGACGGAGGTGCGTAGCTGCTGGTAGCGACATCGCTGCGATACCACTACAAACCTGACATATGACATGAAGACGCATTGCAGCGTATCCAAGCGCGGCACGTATGTAGGAAGGCTG